CCTTGCGGAAATTCCGGATACTATTATTTTGCTTGCGGTATTATAGAAGAATTGACAGTAACTAGCAGTATTTACTGGTAACTCGCGGTAGACTGCGTACAGCGCAGAGGAAAAAAATGCGGTATCACCCGCGCATTTTGAATGCATCCATATATATATCCTTGCTTGCGGAACTTTTGGAACATTACTGTTGCAACTCAATTAAACCTATCAAATTGCAAATAACCTAATAAAAAAACCCTCCAATCCGACTTCAGACAATTGCACTTAACAGAACAAAAACTGCCCTGGTTAAAGTCATTAATAATCTTCTGTCTTCTGAATCTGGTTTTCTCTCTATGCTTACTCTCCTACACTTCCCTGCTGACTTTCTTGTCTTGGGACTGTGTTTGTAGTTTCTGATATTGCTCTTAAATAGGTTCACGCTTACTTTACTGATTACCGAAAGTTTGTCGTTCTTGGGGGTTTCAGTTTGAGTTAATTAAGGCTTGTGCTCCTCAGGGAACGCTACTGGGTCCCCTACTATTCTGCATTTACATGTTCCTTACGAGGGAAGCTACTGTATTATCACATGGTCTGAATTATTATTTCTATACTGAAGACACTCAAATCTACATCCATACTAAACTTGAAATATGTGCCTTTTCCAGAATTGATTACTGCAATGCCATGCACACTGGGGTATCTAAATCCACATTGAACAAATTACATTGGTCCTCAGTACCTATCTAACTTATTATCTTTCTCTCCACTTCACAGCCTTCGTTTATCTGACTCTGGTTTAATGTTTGTCCTCCAATCTCACCTTCATATTATGAGTGACAGGTCCTTCTCTTGCTATGATCCAAAGCTCTGGAATTCTATCTCCATGGATATCAGAGAGTCACCTTCCCCGCCCACTTTCAAATGCAGATATATAGGGGATGCTTATAAGATCATTTTGGGGTTCTTTCTCTCTGTTTATTTAACACAATTACAGTAATCAAAACTACAGTATTGATTTTAACTTACACAATATTATTGTGTATTATGTGTAAGTAATGCAATAATTTACCATTTTCCAAGAGAATAATATTTACTGAGTCTTTTTCATTGAAGCTGACAGCAATCTCTTTGAATTCTGTTGGTGAAGGAGATAAAATTTAAAGTTAGCTGTGCTTTGTCTGCTTGTTTAGATTGTCCCCAATGCCACCATGTATGATTATTCCTGTGTATTCTGGAATTACACAGAAAGGGATTGGAGCACAAAAGGGTGCTCCAAGGCAGGTGATCAGTTTGGGAATTTGAGATGCATTTGCAATCATACCACCAACTTTGCTGTGCTCATGGTAAGATCTTTTTTTGCACTGTTTCAGCTTTTATGTTGTAAAAGGCTTTTAAACAGATTAAGCTATAGTATCAATATTTAGGGACCTAAATATTTGGCATTATTCTTTGTGACAAATAATCTGAATACAGTTTTACATTTCTAATAAAGTCTTCTCACACATTTTCTTTAGTCTTTTAAAAATGATTACAGGTACTCAGATCCACTGGAATGGATAACATATATTGGATGTGCACTGTCTATAACAGGGCTTTTTCTAACTGTAACATACCAGATAATATACAGGTAAGATTTCTCTTTGCTGAGTTATATTACATTAAGATTGCATTATTTGTTATATTAAACTGTTGTCTGATTAGTTACCTATTACAGTGGAGTCAATCTAAATTTACCACATAGCTCTAGTTATGAGTAGACTAGGGTAATTCACAATTTACAGTAGTGAAAAAATAAAATACAAATTAAACAACCAGAATTTTTATATCATGTTTTTTTCCACCTAGGAATTCCTTGAAGAGCAACCACACTGAGCTCCTGATTAATATTTGCATATCCATGATGGTGTTTGACATAGTGTTTATTGGTGGAATCTCCAACCCAAAAGCTGAGGAAGAGACCATCAGCTCAAATACGAGTGAAAACAACATGCTATCCTCTGACATACATGTTGATCCTGACAGTGGTCCTTGCACAGCTGTGGCAGTTCTGCTCCACTTCTTTCTACTGTCCACCTTCACATGGAGCTCATTGTTTGCGGTTCAGAACTATATGCTTATGGTCACTCGCTTCGTACAGACTCCCAGACGTTTTAGGTTGATCTCAACAACAGTTGGCTGGGGTAAGACAAAATTTATTTGACTTATGTAATGTTAAGAGTTTTTGAATATTTTATTTTATGGTACAGCTTAAAATTAGGTTTAAATGTTATGTTCAGAAGCTTTGTTTTTATACATGGTTATCTTAAATTTGGAGTAGCATTTCTTTGCCTTTATTTGGCTTCCACAATATAAGTGAAAATAATATTATGTTACACATGAAAACACCCACAGGTCTCATTAACTATGTTATAATGTTTGACTTGCCAATGTGTTTTCAAGGAGAAAGAAATAACTTCAAGAGTAAAGTACCTTTCTGCCTACCAGTTTAGCTCTTGCCTTACCTTTATTTTCTTTTTTTAAGTTTCCAATGTCAGACACTTTACTGTTAAATGTATTTCTCAAGACTTTAATAAAAGCATTTTTAATATTCATGTAAAAAAGTGACCAAATCTCCAGTTTTCCATAATTCATCACTTCACACTTTGCTCTTTTCAAACAGGATTCTGACACCCCAAAATCCTTTTCTTTCCCCAAAGTCTTCTTCATCAATATTGCATTAGAACATCACCCACTTACAACATCCATCCATTTCCTAATCGCATCCTTGACCACTACAGGGTCATGTGGGCGCCAGGGACTATCACAGCAAGCAATGAGTGCAAGGTGCGATGCAGCTGAACAAGACACCAGGACACATACAAACACACACACAGACACACTCACACTAGGTCAGTTTTTTACAATAGCCTTAACCAATTTAAATATCTTTGATGAAATTCCATTTTTACCAACACAGCAAACTGATTCATGCAGGATTCTTTCATAGGTCTTTTCTAAATTAAAATGAACTATTCTTTTAAAAGTTCAGGTGGGTAGCTGCGACAGCATGCGTAGGCTGCAAAGTAATAGGTTAATTCCATGCTGAAAAGAGAAGAAACACAATGTTTTGGTCGTGGAGCCTTCTTCAGGTGTGAGAAAAACAGGGCAGTGATAGGCCACTGCCCTGTCTTTCTCACACCTGAAGAAGGTTCCACAGCCGAAATGTTCTTTTAACAGTCTACATACCCTAAAGAATGAGTAAGTACAGAGCATACAGTGCATAAAAGGTAGTGATTTCATAAAATGTTATTTTTTGTTCACAAGCACAGGTATAGTTATTTTATTCCTTGTGACTCAAATTTAAAATTCTAATTTTCTAACACAGTCCTCCTATTTGTTCCACTTTTATACT